TAATAAAATCCAAAAAAATCATTATTATATTTTATAGACTTTTGAAAATTTTCCAATCGTTCGTTCATTATTATGCAAATGAATTGTAGGGTTGTAATTACTCCCCGAAGTTTTATTCTGTTCATATATATAGTATTAATGGAGTAACCAAACCAAAATGTTTTTTCCCTTCTGGCTTCATACATAATTTTTTAAATATATTAGTATTTAATATTAATCGACTGACGGAATTGACAAATTTGGTAATAGTAATTATTTGCATAACCAGCTAACTTTATATTAATCTTAAGTTAGTCCCATAAATTCCCGTGCAAAACTTAATTATTCTCTTTTTTTTAAAGGCTTCATCTGGGTCATAAAACATAATCATCTGTAAAAATAAGCATCTTTTGCCGCAGCGATCAATACTAGCATTGGATCTTTTCTTGGTCGAAAATTTTGTTTAGAGAAATATACCTGTAGAAATATCTCTTTCGGCGATAAACACTATATACTGAAATGGTATGGAATGCATTTTAATTTAGAAAAACGCATTGTTGATACGAAATAACATATGGGAAGGTGCCGTATTTTTAGGCACGAAAAAGTGCATTTTTCCCCTATTACTATTAGTAGTAGTATGTATTCCGTATCAAAAATGTGTTTTTCTGAATGAATTCAGGATCAGAAACACGTTTTTTCGTGTGTATTCAGCGTCTATTATAATTACTATTCGTACATAATTGTTTATAGTAATCGGGCAAAAATTACCCTTGTTACTTTTACTTATTTGAAACGATAAAACTTTTAATTTCTTTTACAATATTGGAAATTTTTGCTCTTTTAGTTTTCAGCAATTTAAATTCATAAAATGGATCATTGACAATCTCTTGAACTTTCACCATACCAAGGTCAAAAGAAAACGCCAGCATATCATTTAGCTTCTTAAAACAAATCTTCAAACCAGATTTTAATATATCTTCATAACATCGAGTTTTGATCCACGCATTCAACAGTTGTCTTTTTTTTGTATGATTTTGATTGGTCTAGAACCGCTATCGCATTTGAATTTAGGGATCGTGAAGTTTTAATTCAATGCTTCCATAATTGCCAAATATAAATAAATCCAATATTTTCATTTTCATTTTCTCTATCAACATTGTCACAATTCTTAATTGCATGCAAAGTGTGCTATTAGGGCCTTTCGAGTTGAACAAATCAACTAAGCTCTCAATGAAGATGAATACCAAATAGATGGATATTTTGAGTACCAATATAATATCGTTGTTCAGAATATGGTACATAATCATAACTATGCAATAGCATCTGTTCGTTAAACAACATTTAAATATTCAAAATAATCATGACCTTTTAGTTATAAATATTGTGAATAACCAAATGTATTTCGAATAAATATTTTGAACGACACCAAATATTATAAATCGCAAATATTATGGATGATCATAAATATTATGACCAAATATTGTGAGTCGAATGTATTACGATGATCATAAATATTATGAATTACGAATAATTATAATGTTGTGGGTACGAAAGGAAAAATAGAAAGAGATAGCAGGTTTTGTGCCAACATGCTCTATTTAAAAACTTCGATTGGTACTAGAACACTATTCTTTTTTGTTTCTAATTTTAGATGTGTAGAACACTATGTTAATCAGTTGCATATCAAATTATTAATACTTTATTATAATAAAAAGAGTTCATGATTTATATAGTTAAAAGTTTTAATTGGTTTTATTTTATTAAATAACTGTTCGTTTGTTTTGACCATTATCTTTTGCCATTTTTATGCGGTATGAAGTAATCTAGTTCGTGTGGTGGTACATTTCCAAAGTAAACAGAATCACATGCAAAAGGCTTATTATAATCAATCGCTTATCTTGGCAAGATACTGAAATCGGAATCTAATCAGTATCCCATAAACTTACTTTTCTATCGCTATCGTTATCGCTTTTATTACTTGATTAGTATTACATTCATTAATTGAATTCATCATCACTTTCGTTAATTGATTCGTTATCATTTTTATTATTCTCACTATCATAAAGAAAAACTTTTTTTTCTCCTCAAAAGCAAGTCATTTAAATGGTTTCCTTTTTTGTAAGTGGCAGCAGCATACTCTCGTTAAAATGGAATGAATGAATGTAAATTTGTTAATTAATAATTTACTATATGTAACATTGGCAATAACTTTTTTGATTATAATTGTTCAACCCCAAAATTTTCATAGAATTATTCTTTGCCATTTACTATGTATGTAAAACTATGAAAAGTTCGAGTTCAGGACCAAGTGACTTGAGAGCTTCAATTAATTAGTACGGAAGTGCAGATGTACTAGTACGGAATACGGAACCAAAAAAACTCCCGTTTATATTTATAATTAATAGCCTTTTGCTTTTCTAAAAAAGTCTCACATCAGGAAAATAAATCTTACATAAACCTACGTAGGGTTCAGAATTGGCCAGCATTATGTCGATATTTTGGTAATTCTGTTAACATTTCCGCATAATGCTGGTCAGTTTTAAACCCTACGTAGGTTTACATGAGATTTATTTTCCTGATGCAAGCACACACTTCTTCCCCTATTAAATGGTTGAAATGTGGAGAAAACTTTTAAATAATAAATAATCATTCCAAAATATTCTATTTCAACAAAAATGTGTTGACATAAATATTGCATCTATAAACTTTTATGAAAGGTGTGTCTCTGCGAGAATAACAATATATAATCATCATTTCACTATTAAAATCAGTCATTAAACTATTTTATTGATGAAGATAAAAATTAAAAGTTTTATTTGCAAAGTCAATCCTTTCTTTTATCAGAATTATTACTAATATATGATGATAATGTCATTGAAGTCAGTAAAGATGATAATGGAGGATAGAAGTAGTAGAAAGTGGTTTTGATGTTTTTAATAATATTATAAAAAAACTCACTGCGCATGCAAATTTCAATGTTCATGCAATTTCCCATGATTATTTGTTATTTAAGTAATATATAATGAATAAATGAAGTCTTATATAATCGATAACGTTCATGACTAGTAGTATGCCTATTCGTGACCCTTAACCCCCCCCCCCCACATTCGGATATTCGAAAGCTTTTGGACATAATATTCGAGTTATTATTATATTATATTCGAATTTCAAGCATTCGTAATGCTTGAAAATACTATAATCTTTATGGCAGTTGCATTTAATAATTATAATTATTAAACTTCAAAATTTTAATTAATAGAATTATTAACTAAATGATTAATTGAATCGGTAGTAGCTGTTTTCTGTGTTTGCATATCGTTTATTGTACCCTCTGGATGATGGTCCAAAGAAATTGGTAGTTTTATTTAACAAATCCGGTATGTTCCATCTTCATCTTCATTAAATTAATTCCATATAAAGCATTTTAGATTTTTTACGAGGTGTATTAGATGTTCCTCTAATTCTAATGGAAGATTCAAATTTGTTTTCATCGCCAATATATAATCACTGTTATTCGAAGTGGGGGGAGGGTTCTTCGAAAGTATTGTGAATATTGAACAGTCGAAAACATTATTATCACAAGTATCATTGTTATTATTATTACATGTATTCAAATATCTAAAATTATGTGCATATTCGGAACATCAATCGACCCTTCAGCTGGTTTGTTTATTTTGAGTGTATAGAGCTGATCATCAACTATAAAATATTTCTGCAATTAGCAAACAGTATCCAATTTTCACCAATTATTATAGATTTAATATGATTCGTCTATGCATGGTCCTAGTATTATTATTACTTGGGTATTAGATTATAAATTTAAGAAAATTATCATAATCAAAAATAAGCATTTTGAACAGATATGACACAAGATATGAAAACAAAGGTATGTCACATCCAAGGAGAGGATTAAATAACAAAAAGGATGTCTTCTTTATCGTCGTCTTCACCTCCATCAATCCATTCTTCCCCATTCCACCAATTAGGCTATTCTTTACTAATTAAGTTTTGATTTAGTGGAAAGTCAACAATATTTTAAGGCTGAATTGTTTCTATCATTTTTTTCCTAGGATTGGTTTTGCAGTTCCATTTCATCGAATGAAAAATTTGAGTCCGGCTTTAACCTTTCACTGAATTCCATAATTCTTTATCATCAACCGATGGATGATATTACGGAATTATTATCTGTCACTTGAATCATTTAGAAAGTCTTGGATTTCAGCATTTTCATGTTATAAATTATAATTGAAGAAAATGTTAATATTTACATCAAAAAAAAAATTTTTTTTATATATATTATTATTATTATTATTATTATTATTATTATGAAAATTGGATATTAGCCAGATTAAGGTTAGAAAAATATATCCAAACATAAATAGATATACATATAAAATAAGATAAAAAAAAGATTAGCAAGCATCAAAGGAAAAGAGGAAAAGAAAATTTTGACAATCATGTCAAGGAAAATGCATTACCAGTCGACACATTTTCTTTCGTTGCAATAGCATGATAATATGGATTTTTTAGAACCTTGTATGCCACAAAGTATGATCCACTATTTGCTCTTTTAGATTTTTCTAAAGAATTGTGAATTGGCATGTATTGTGGAATCTCAAACAAACAAATAAAAAATACGAAATATATATTTTACTATTAATTTCCATTATAAAATAAAAACCAAGGAATTAGTTAATCTCATTTCATAGATCATATAGATATTAATAAGTTAATATTATGAATTTGTGACTTTAAGTAAGTTAAATAAATATTCAACACAGATATATATGTATTTATGGAAGTTATATGGCTTAAAATAAACTTTCACAATTTTGACAGTCATTTCGCAAGTTTAACTTAGACATTCACTAACTTAATTAGACACTCGCCAAGAATTTGAACTCTGTTAATAATATAAGTCTTTATTTTTAGGACTAACTTTTAATTTTTTTACATATGGTTAAAATTATAGTTCCCAATGATATATTCTATATAGTTTTATGAAGATAAGTCATGTTTTATTTAAATATACCACGAGATTTTTTAATTATATTCGATTTTGTACTATGTAGATCTTCTACACGTGTAAAATTACGCGTTTTACGAGCTTTGGGAGAATAGTATTTTATGTTGTCGATTGCAATTTTTCGACTTTTCGATTTATTGATTTCTCTTGAAAGATCCTTGAAAATCTTCTGATCCTCGTGACTTAGTGCTTTCCACGATCTGGAGGCTAAAGGGCTTAATTGACGGAGAAAAGTTTTTTCATAATACTTTCGATATTCTTCATTAAATATTTGACGAAATAAGATGAAAGGCTTTGATTGACCTGATGTATTTTCAGCATAGAATTCTGGGTTTTTGAATCGGATTAAATCGGGAGGTAGTTTCGGAAAGTATTGGGTTACGAAAAACAAATTTCCTCTATAATTAATGATCATAGATTCGTTTATATTACGGTTTATGATGCTTTCTAATACATCCTTGCTACTAGGAAAGTAATCCATGATGAGAGAGTTGTTTTTAATTACTTTAATTATGATTGTTTATAACGAAGGAAAAATCACGCTGATAAAAAATGAGAATGCCATCTTTATAAAGAATTCTCACATATAGATCATTCATTTTTTTTTTTTTGAGAAGGAAAAAATTAAAATGAATTGACATTTAAGTTACCAAATTGAGAATTACATGACGTACAACAATTTACATTTCCCAAAGTGGCAAATTAATCCGTGTAGATCACGATTCCATACAATTTATTTCTATATATTATAATAATAATAAGTGGAGTTTTTTAAATGGTTTATTCCAAGGTAGTGAAAATGTTTATTGATTAAGATCATATTCAAGATATACATTAATATTAATGTTTTTTCCTGTATCCCATTAATAATACCTATATCCAACCTGTATCCAATTAATAATTGGATCGGGAGAGTCATTTTTTAGATAAATGTATAATAACCAGTTTAAATAAACATCAAATGCTTCTACCCAATTATTAAATGTTCACATCCAGTTAATCGTTAGAATAATGGTGCGTCATATTAATTCACTTATTTGGAGACTTGTTAAATTGGACATTTCACAGCAAAAACCATATCTGAGACTCTCTAACCAAAACTGAGTTTTTTGCATAATAATAAACTATAACATAAGGCCTATTAATTGTAAAAACATTAAACCATGTTTACATAATAAAAAAAGAGAACCGGAAGGACCTCGGAGGTCCTGAACTGGGTAGGGTTCCTGACTGTAATTCTACCCCTATTGAATACTCGTAATTATTTTCGATACTCGTAATTATTTTTGATACTCGTAATTATTTTGATACTCGTAATTATTTTGATACTCGTAATTATTTTTGATACTCGTAATTATTTTTGATACTCGTAATTATTTTTGATATTCGTAATTATTCCAAACACTTGTTTATTTCAGATATTCATTAATTTTGTAAATACTTAACAAATTACAGTATACCTAAACGGAAAAATCTTTTTTTTAAAGAAAAATCAGAAAATAAGGTAAGTGATTTAAATATATGGGTTAGCGTTAAATTATATTTATTATAAAAGAAAAAAAACTTATTCCATTTGAGTTTTGAGAAGACACTTTTACTTGAACTTGGCGTGTTCTTGCACTTCCATCGTCATTAAATGAAGCTCTCACGTGTCCTGCCTTTCTTATCGTGTTTTTTTTTGGCTAACGATTGATGAATTATTGGCAAAATAGATGAAAGGATGTTCGAATTTGTTGTTAGATAACCTGCATATTCTTCATAAAAACAGAGTTGACTCATCTTCTGATGTTAAGTCAATTAAACCACTCATACTTGAAAATTAAGGAATTAAAAATTATTTATTATTATCAAATATTTGTAATTATAACAAATGTTTGAATATTACAATTGTTTGAAATGATTATGAATATTCAAGTGTCTAAAATAATTACGAATATCTAAAGTAATTACGAATATCTAAAATAGTTATCCGAAATAATTACGAATATTCCAAGTCGTTACGAAATAAATTATATATATTCAAATATCCTTGATAAATTGATTTTCGAAAAAATTTGATTTATATTAATATATAATGTAATTGAATAATAATGTTTTAGATATTGTAGATTGTGCCAAATCAATAATTAAAAAGAGAATTATTGATTTACAGTGAATCCTTAATTAAAACAAAATTCGATCCAATTGATAAACCAATAGATTTGACCTATCTTTGAATTTTTGGGGATCATTTTCTCGATGCACTCGTAGAAGGGATCTTTTACATGTCAAATTACAACAACATCAACTGTCCTCACCGTCTAATCAGACAAAAATAAAGGTAATTTGTGATTGGGACGAGAGTTCACAGCCATTTGGGCCTGAGGCGGATCATTTGTTGACTACCTGAGAAAAAAGGGTATTGAAATACTTGCAAGATTCTATTATTGATCCAATGGTAGATACAACCAAAATGAACGAAAAAAAAAGTTATATCGATCAGCTTTCCTTTTATCTTTTCTCTCGATTACTAGAGAGTTACTGCCAGCCTTAAAATATGATTCGATCAGTTAATTGATTATTGTAACTTGCATTATTAAAGGAAACATAAGTCTTCTGTTGGTAATCCAGAAAAATATAATAAATTCTAAGCTAGATTATTCCCATCGACAGTTACTTCCCTTTCTAAACTAGGAAAGAGTTATTTCTTCACAAAATTGAATTAAAGACAATTAATGATTTTGATATTTTGCTATTATGATTATTAATGAAATGAGAAAACTTTAATAAAACTCATCTTTCAAATACACCAGTTACTGGTCAGATAGATATATTTATGATTTAGAAATTTCGTCAATTTTTACTTTAAATATTTCGAAGAAAAGGATTTATTTTTTGTCAATATATCATTTATTTATTTATATTATATGCACATACATACATACATACATACATATATATATATATATATATATATATCATTATTTATTTTATAGTTATAATTGAATTTGAAAACTTCTTGTACTATTAGGAGTAATAGTACCATTATCATTAGAATCATCATCACTATGAAGATGATGATTCTTATTTAAATCTAAATCATCCCAATTTGTTTTGTCCCAGTAACCTTCTATAAAATTTAAAATCTTAGTTACGCCATCTTTTTTATTCAATTTTCTATTTAATCTCATACCGAGAGATTCACATCTTTTTTTCAGGTCAATATCTGTTAACACGTCAAGTAGTGATTCGTAGATTTTATCTGAATCCACTGCATTTACATGAAATCCTGCATTAGAAGTTAAACCGTGACGATATAGTATGGATGCCCACCATGATTGTTCAGGATAGTTGTATACCTATATAATAATTTATTATTATTATTATTATAGAAAGATAGAAAAAGAAAAATGTATGCTTACTATTAGTGAAGGTACGCCTGCTCTTATGACAGAATGAGTTGTACCTATGCCACCATGAAATACCACACATGATAATTGTGGAAATAACCACGAATGTGGAACATAATAATTTAAAATAAATATTCTACCGTTTAATATTTCATCATTTAATTCTTGAATATCAACACTAAAATTAATTTAAAGGTCAAAAAATAAATTATTATTATTATTAGTTTGCCATCCTCATCTCATTTAAATCACTTACTCTCCAACATCACAAAATATGGCTCTTTGGTTTTCGGGTAATTTTTGCATAACTTCCAACCAAAGTCTGATTCTTTCTATTTCATCCACAAAATTATTATTATTTGTACCATATCCAAAATATATTGGCTTTCTACCCTCATTTAGAAATTTATCTAAATCAGGATCTGCTTCAAATATATCCAATTCATTTTCGTATTTTAGATATGGATAATCGATTTGCGTTTCATTTATATTTTTACTATGGAAAAAAAAAATAATACAAATTAGTATAAATAATAAATTAATAAGAGTGATGATCCATTGCATTAACTTACGGATTTAGTGGTATTTTAATTAAATGTCTATTTGAAATATGTATTACTGGTATTTGATTGGTTTCAATTGAACCACCTGATGACCATGGAACTCTAATATATATATATATATGTATATATATATTAATCAATTTAAAGATATAATCAATTATTGTTGTTGTTATTATTATTAGTTACTTTACTTTTCTACAGATTCAAGTCCAAGTTCTAAAAGTTTTTGGTTATAGATCTATATAAAAAAATTATTTTTAAAATCATTTGTGATTATTTCAGATTAAAAAATATTAAATTTAATTATTTTATTCATACTGGTAAATTTTCCATATCAGACCAAACTGTAACAAGATAATCCTTTTTTTTTAAAAAAGATTTTTGTAATTTTAGTTTGAATATTGAATATAATTAAACTAATTTTATAAATATATATATATATGAATATGCTTACAAATGTCTTCCGCATTTTAAAATTTAATTGAAATGGGATCCATTGTAATGAATCAAATGAATAAATATCCTAACATATTGAATTCAGTTAATATACATTATTTACTATCATTAATAAAATATAATCCATATATATTTATATTTATATTCATATTTACTTCTGTAATCTTTGGTGCACTTGACCAGGGATAAGTACAAATATATGCCATGGGAATATCCCTTATAATACACTAATAAAATATATAATATAGTTGATTTTTAATAAACTGTTGATTGATTGATTGTTGATTAATTTTAAGTCATTAATGATTTTAACTTGGTAAAATAGGATGTTAAGATGATAGAAATACCTCAGGGTACATGTACATTGAACCAATTCCAAGAATAACAAACTCAATCTTATTCAACATTCTTTCTGCATCTCTTTAATCATTTGAATTTCCATTAATTCATAATAGTAATGATAGAGTAATAAAATAATGGCAAGAATTAGTTTTCTTACTCATAATTGTTTCTTTGTAAACCTTGTTTCAAGAAATTGAATGCAATTGATGATCCAGGAAATTTGAATATTTTATTGTTACCTATATAATTAATTAATTTCATTGATATATTATGTTATAATATTTACAAAAAGTTTATATATAATTTGTTCTTACTCAATTCATTATTGTTTTCAATATAATCAATTAAATCCCACTAAAATTAAAATAAATTGAAATATCAACATTTTTTTCTTTAAAAAAAATTTTTTTTTTCAAAAAGAAAAAAAGATAATTTACACCAATTGTGCGAAATTCAAATCCTCTTTCTAGAACAAATCTACGATAAATTGATGTAGTTGCTATTATTACATTATGTCCACGTTGTCGAAGTCCTATTCCAAGATTAAGAAACGGTATCACATCTCCAAAAGATCCTACAGCTATTCAATTATTTATTATAATAACAATTGGAAATCATCATCCCACTCAAAATATACATTAATATAAAAGTATGGATCTATTTTTTTTTTTTTGTACCTAACAATAAAACACTTTTGGTGTTAATGAATAATGCACTATCGATACTGCTACTCCTTACTGACATTTACAGATATTACAGATATTTTAAAATTTTTTTTTTAAAAAAGAAATATTGAGGCTGTGATCAGCAGCAGATTCACCAAGTTATAAGTAACCAAAAGCATGTATCATTGTGACAATAGTAATGGTTAGTATTACTGTATTGGTAGTATTAGTATTCATTTGGAATTATTCGAATATACATTAATATTAATATTAATAATAATTTCTTCGCCCTCTATGAGTGCACCCCCCTCTGGAATGGAGGGTGCATTTATTTACACATAAGTCGGACGCAGCAATCGAATGTTTAAGCACTTGATAATAATAATAATATTAAAAAAATTTACTATGTCTTCTAGGTAATTATAATAATAACATTTGAATAGTGACCAAATGATTGATATATTTGTTTTGCGTAATTATTATTAATATTAGATGGTTGTATATTAAATTTAGCGGCGTAACTATTGAAGACGGGAAAACTGCTAGACAATTTAATATGCAATATTTGATTATTGGAAATTTGCAGATTCTGCAAATTTCTAGTGTTTGTATTCATGATATTCATGATATTCATGATATTCGAATAATATTCATGATATTCGAATATCATGTTGATCCTTTTATGAATATCGAATATCATGAATATCATTATATTATTATATGGGGTGTGGACAATAGAAACGGACCATGTTGTGAAAAAAGCAATTTTGAGTTAGTATCACTATTATATGTAATTCCTCATGTAGAACATTTTTGGCTTAGAAACCATACCCACTTTGCTTAATAAAACTTTGAGATGCCCTCCATTAAAGTTTTAAAAACAATAGTAAATTACTTGAAATGCAGATCTTTTTTTTTAAATTTTATCAAAACATCATTTTCACAACATGGTCCGTTTCTATTGTCCAGACCCCATATATGCATAATATTTGTACCCCTTTTCCTGATGCATTATTAAATTTTGAACCCTGAAATTTTTGGTAACACCAATGTTCACTTTGTTACAGCATGCCCATATATAGAAATTTATATATGTGATTGACTATGTTTGTAAAATCATATAATTAATGTAGGACATCCCAACCATACATGAAAGGTAAGACACCAAAATCCGCTTATTATGATAAATATGGACCAAGTGGCTCATTTACCAAAGCAGCTACTGGAAATGAAAAAATTACAAGTCTTTTTAAAGTTCAAATTAAGGTTCCATAGTGTGAGATAGTAAATCTTGGACCTATCAACTACCCGACCAATTAGAACGAATTTACTACGGAAGTCATGTGATGCGCTAAATATTATTATTGTAACGGCTGCGCAGTGTCATATGAAAGATTATTCTTATTCATATTTCATTTGTATTTATTAACCTACTCATCTGATGTAAATATTTATTTAGAATTAGTAATTAGTTGATAAGCATATGGGGCCTGATCAATAGAAATGAGGCATGTCAAAAAAATCATGTTTTGAGAAAATCAACAAATAAGATTTTGACCCCCAAAATTCATGATTTGTAGATCATTGCTAAATTTTATTAAACATTCAAAAATTCATTTATTTATAATAATAATAATAATAATTGCTTGTATAGATGCTGGTCGCAATTCTTGATGATGGTTGCAACCATATTTGCGACACCTGTTTGGTTTCCTTTTTTGGATTGCGACATGGAACACTAATTGCTTGTATAACATCATGTAGACTAATGCCATTTCACTTTTTCTCAAATATCTCAAAACATTTATAAGCAAAGTGGGTATAGTTACTAAGCTAAAAATGTTCTTTGTGATGAATTACATATAAAAATATTGTTAACTCAAAATCGACTTTTTGGTGACATGCCTCGTTTCTATTGATCAGACCCCATATGATGATTGTGATCACTAAAAACCCTGATTGATAAATGATCTGCGAATTAATAATGCTAAGCATTACATGATTGCCAAATTCGGCAACTTCCCACATTTCAGCCGCAGATGTAGAATATATATACATAGTGGGGAAAAAAACCACTTCATCAACATACCATACTTGCTCACTCACTACCAATTTCAACAAAAACACTACCAACAAAAATATTTCCAAAATATAATTTCAACCAGTGAGTGTTCAACAAATCCATTCAACAAAAAAATGCTTTCAACCAACATTCAACAAAAACGTTTTCAAAAAGCCCATTTTCAACAAAAATGCTTTCAACCAGCATTCAACAAAAGCAACAAAAATCTGGGGGGAAGATGTTAAACAAATAATCAAATTTGAATGGCCTTATTGGATATAATAGAATTTTTTTATTCTATATAATAATTCTTTATCTTTTGTTGAAATGACACACTGATTTTTCAAAGATAAGGAATTAGTTAATTTTTTACATGTCCCTAGTCAGACAAAATTCCCTAGGGTGAATTAGCTGTAATGGTTATGACTTTATGAGGTGGTAAGGCAAACAAATCATGATCATGAATTTAATGAATGGTTATTAGCCGGGCTGACATCTGTCAGTTGTTTCCTAGGCTCTTTTAATTAAGAGACTTAAAAAACCTCTCCACTAGGCGGATGTCCTGTGTGAGTTGTTAGAGGACATTTATTTTAAATCCAATTCCAGTATCTGGACACATCTAAAGTATGCATGTCTTATTGTGTGCAACTCATGGATAAAGTGGTGGACCTTATGCATCTGATGTGTATACTCCCTTTTTGTGCATCCAGGTGCGTGGCTTATCATATATGTACTCAAGAATGGGCTGGCCCATAATTTAACAGGCCCAGTACATCTATTTGGGCAACTCAAAACCTTGGATTTAATACTTTTTAGCCATTTTAACTGGTTAATTCGTGATCCATCAATGAAGGAAAGGATCTACATAGTAAAATTCCGGGATAAGCATCATAGTAAAATCAATTAGTGTCCATAATCTGGAACCACTGCAGAAATAGCACAATATTTTACATGTAGATTTGTACTTTAAAATTACCAAATAAAACTCTGAGTATCTGGCTATCGTTTTAATTTAAATTTATAAAAATAGCTCCAAAATTTCTAAAGTTACA